CAATTGTATACTCTTCTGTAGTGGTTCATTGAACCACAATACCGATAAGTGATTAATAAAAGTCAAAAGACCAAAGAAGTTACCTTAATACAAAAAAAAAATAAAAAATTTCAAAGAAGTAAAATAATAGAAAAACCAAGAAACAAAATAGTTTGTTCTTTAAGAATCTAACTAAACAACAAAATGTGAGAAGTTTTAATTAAAAAAAAGGCAAAAAAATAATAAGTCAAACAATAAGAAACCTCAAATACAAAAAGATAACAATAAGCCAGATAGTATATATAAATACTATAATAATAATACCAAAGTTAAGTTATATGTTACAGCTAACAAAAATGTTAGAAAAAGTAATAAATAAAGTATATCAATTAATGATATGCTTGGCAAAACAAAAAAATAGCCTAGCAAGAACATTAGAGAACTGCATAATAGAATACAAAGACCTGGGCAGCTGCAGAATATTGTGACAAAAATTAATAATGAAACAAGTAAAAGGGTTGCTAGCAAGACTTAACAAAAAAGATGAATTAGAATAGTTAACAAAGTTAAGAATAATACAAGATTGCCAAAGAGCAGAACTAACTAAAAACATATAAAAATTAGAGAAATTACCAGAAGATAAAATATATTGAAAGAATAATCTAGTCTATTTGACAATAGTTAAGATAAAAGAGCTAAAAATAAGTATAAATACAGAAAATAAGCTATAGACAACAAGTGGCTATAGCCACAAAATAGTCGAACTACTAGAAACATAACTGTAAAAAAGAAGTGAAGCCAAAATAAGTAAAACAGGTCAAATATATCTAAACCAACTACTTGATACAAGAGATAAAAGACTAATTATATAGTAGCAATTTAAAAGATACTAAAAACAATTAAACAAAAATAAAGAAGCAGAATAATTCAAAAGTATAAAAAGAAAAGTACATAATGAAATAGAAAGCAGAGAGGTCAAAGAATATTTCAAGACAGATGAATATAATATACAAGCAATAAAAATTAAGTAAGAAAGTTTTTTAAAAAATAGAAAGAAAAAAGAATAAATTTTATATAATACAAATAACATCAGATAGTTTGAAAAAATAATTAAGAAAAAAAAGGAAAAAGTATTAATAGAACATTAGTAGATACAAAGTGTAGAAAATGATTTAGTAACTGAAATAAGCAAATGCAATAGGTGTATAAGTAAAAAAGAAATATTAGAAAACAGCTATTAATAGTGAATAAGAATCAATAACAAGATAAAAGTAGTTTTAAATATACTAGTAGTTAAAAACAATAATATGATTAAGACAACAACAGACTAGCTAATAAAGTATACAAAAACAGAAGAATTAAAAAAATGAATGAAAACTAATAGAACTGAAAATACTAGAGAATCTAAAAATAGAGCTAGTCAGAAAGCAAAGATTAAAAAAAAATGTTATTTAAGAAATAATAGAAATATTAAAGAGAAATATATCAAGAAACAAGAATAAGTATATAAAATATACAGATAATATAATAAATAAATGAAACAAAGAAGAAACAATAGATAGAAACATGAGTATAGGATGGGTACAAATAAGTGAAGCACAAGATTGGTTAAAAGAAAAAATAGCATTAGAAATAAAAGAATGACCAATATCAACTATAGCAGAGTTATTAGCAATATGGATAGCAATTTTGACTATACTGAAAAAAAAGACTATAAATATTTATAAATAATAATGTTGCAATTAGAAATATTAACAAAGAGTTAGAATATATAGATATAAATAGAATTCTTAAAAGAAAAAATGCTTTTTGAATAGTAAAAATAATTAACCTAGTTAAAACAAAAAATATACAAATAAAGTAATTTAAGATAAAAAACTATAGCAAAGACAAATAGAATGATAAAGCTAATAGCTTTGTAAAAAAAATAACAATAAGTAGAAAGATAATATACATATAAAAAGTTAGTTGCAAAGAGATAAAATATTATTTAAAGTAAGAAAATAAATAGATAGATATGCTAACAAGACTTTTATATAAGCTAGAAACAACAGTAATCAAGACCCTAGAACTAATAACAGAAATAATAATTTATGACTGAGTATACTTTTGAAAAAAACTAAAGTTAATAAAAAAAGTACACTATATAATAAGAAGGAGCAGTATAAGTAGAAGTGCTTTTATAAAATATATATTGAACAAACTCTTAATATTGAAGAAACTTAATAGAAGAAAACCAGATTTATATAGAAATACAGAATGCCAAGTATGTTAAGATAAAATCAAAAAAATATAAGTGTATCTGGCAATATGCAAGAAATAAGTAAGACTTTGGAAGAGAATACAGAAAGTATTTATTGCAACAGTATAGAAAGGATTAAAAGAAAAAGAAAAAACTAAAGTTCTATTTTATATATTATATATAACACTATTCAGAAAAATAGAAACATAAGAAATAAAAATAAGAAAAGCATTAATCAAGAACTTAATTCTGAAAACAACTCAAGAAAATTTAATATAACCCCTAAATACAAAGACAAAACAACAAATTGTGAATACATTAACAGAAATAGCCTGAAATACCTTCTACAAGCAAGTCTAAAAAACATGATATAAAAAAATTAATAAATGAAAAAAAAGAATAGGAATAATTAACAAAATAAAAAAGAAACTTAAAAAAAAAAAAAATTCAAGTAAGAAGAAAAAAACTAACCAGCAAGAAATAAAAGAAAAAAAAAAAAACAAAAGAGAAGGAAAAACAAATTGAAAATGAAACCAGAAAAACAATATCAGAGCTTGTCATAAAAGAGAAAAGACTTTTTCATTACAGACTTTAAGTAATCAGACAAACAGCTTACTTCTGTTTGAAGTAATGTGACAGGTTGCACTTAGATGTCATTAGGGTGACTAGGTAATGCTAGACTTAATTGTTAGGTACATCTATGTAATTGCAATAATAATTTCAAGAATCTTAATAAAGTACTAGCGTGACTGCTTAAGTTTAAAAAAAAAAAATTTAAATAAATTATATTATAAAAATTAAAAATCTAATAAATAAGTATTGTCAACAATTTTTTTTAAAAAATATATACAAATTCTTTAATAATAATAAAACCCAGGCTTAATGCTTAAATTTAGTTCGCTTCTTTAGTACAGTCTACCCTCGTTTATATCAACCCATTTGGATTGGTTTTAAATTATGTTGATAGTAATATTAACAAAAGATTATATTAAAGTTGATATATATGAGTGAATTTTGATATATAAAAATTTATAAAAATTTGATTTGTGGCTTAGGTTGATATTAACGAGGTTCTTCTGGTCTTTACATTTTTACAAAAAAAAAAAAAATACTTTAGTTATATTAGTTATTTTTGTGATGCAGTTTAAAAAATCATTACTTGCTAGTTTAAGATGTAGAATCGAAAAAATCTTGTCTAATTGGTCAATTGAAATTGACCAATCATATCATAAACACAAAAAGCGGACCAAAAAAGAACTTCAATTATAATCGCTTAGGATGTCATCTATGTTGCAGGAATTTCGAGCAAAACGTGAAGCTCAAAGGGTCCAAGTTAAAGACAAATATGAAATTTTGGGCTTTATCAGTTCAGGAACATATGGAAGAGTATATAAAGCACAAGCAAAACAGAAAAACAAGGGGTTTGTATCGGACATTTTAATTGTCAAGTACTACTTGTAAATAAGTTATTTAAAAACTATTATTAATGCTACAGTTCAAATGAGGAAAAGCCTCTCATGTATGCAATAAAAAAATTTAAACCTGATAAAGAAGGCGATGTTACTACCTATACAGGGATATCGCAGTCTGCTTGTCGAGAGATATCGGTATTTATTAAAATTCTAAATTGCGCTTGTCTTTACTAAAAGATCCATTATTCATTTTACGCATTAACAAAGTTGTGTCGGGAACTCAGTCATGTAAATATTATCGCTCTTCAAGAAGTGCTTTTAGAAAATAATTCAATTCACATGGTGTTCGAATTTGCAGAACATGATTTTCTGGCAAGATATCTATGATTATTACTATATAATGATTTTTTCAGCTAGACATTGTTGTTTACTCAAATGGTTTACAGCAAATAATCCACCATCATAGTCAACATAGCCAACACGACAGATCCTCTTCTATTCCCGAATTCACTATCAAATCATTTTTATGGCAGCTGCTTAATGGAGTAGCATATCTTCATGCTAATTGGGTTTTACATAGAGATTTAAAGCCGGCAAACATTTTGGTTACGGCTGATGGTGTAGTGAAAATTGGTAAAGTACATTCACATGATTTAAAAAACATTTAACATTCTTGCTAATATATCCGTATTATGTAGGTGACTTAGGGCTGGCAAGAATTTATCAACTCCCATTACAACCTTTGTTCAACGGTGATAAGGTAGTTGTGACAATATGGTATCGAGCCCCTGAGCTTTTGCTTGGGTCCAAACATTATACAAAAGCGATAGGTTAGCCACTTAAAATTTTTCTATTTTTTGTATTTATGGTATACTTGCTCATTGAGTTTTACAATTTTAATCAGATATTTGGGCTGTTGGATGTATTTTTGCCGAGTTATTGACTTTAAGACCAATATTTAAAGGAGAAGAAGCAAAAATGGACAATAAAAAGAGCGTTCCATTTCAAAAAAACCAATTAACAAAAATTTTTGAAGTATTGGGAAAACCAACAAGTAAACCCAATTTCAATATAGAATGATTGATATTTTATTTGTTGATTCCCTACAATAATTTGGAACCTTGCTTGGAATTTAGAGGAACAATGGTTTGAGATTGAAAAACAACCAGAATATCCTCAGTTAGCTTCTTTTCGGGCGTAAGTCTTGTATTATATCTTTCATGTGTTCAAGAGGCTCGTATATTTGCTCTTTAATTGTTTCTCAATTTTTGTATTATTTCATTTTATTAATCAGGATTCCAAATAGACTACGGGAGTTTTACCAAAATCATTGTTCATCAAAGTCTGAACAGGGGTATAAGTTATTGTCTCTCATGTTAGAATATGACCCTATAACGCGCATCACTGCTGAGGAAGCCCTGAAACATCCTTATTTTGAAGAAGATCCTATTCCATCAATGGAGTGAGTTCATTTTCATAATGCCACAAATGTTATCCTTACTTTTTGGTTGCTAAGCTATTTATTTATGTCGGTTTCATTTAACAGTTCTTTCGACGGACAACCATTTCAATACCCTTCAAGAAGCGTTAAACATGATGATAATGATATGAAGGCACCACCAGCAGCTGCTAATGCAAGTACTGCTACACAAGGCCAAGCAGGGGCATCACAAGGTGGAGTGGGCGCGGGACGAAAGCACGCTCATTCTGGAAAGGACGAAGGAAGAAATAATAAGAGGCGAGGCTAGATTAATATCCCATAATATCTATTGGTTATGTGCTAGTTAATACTTGTATTGTATTTTACCTAATTTGTTAACCATTGCATTTAGGACGTTTAGAAAAAAATCAAACACAAGTAAATCAAGATTTTCATAAAATATAGAGATAAATTATATAATAAAAAACAAATAGGATAGAAATAAAAGTTTTATCAATATTAAAAGTGCATTTGTTTTGTTGTCTCTGCGAGATCATTCTTTGAAGTGGGGATTTTTTTTTTCTTAGCATAAAAATATGCGCAAATCTCAGGTTTAAAAGGGCACTATTATTTTTTGAAGGTCTATTTTATATATACAGTTAAAGCTCGATATAGCGAAGTCCACATTCTGACCTAATGCCCTGTTAAATAGAAACATTCGGTTATCAGGATGCAAATCTACATTTATGATGCAAAAAAAATTTGTTATTCGAAATATTCGCTATGCAAAAATTCGTTATCTCGAGCGTTGATTGTATTCAGTTCTGGACTAAGGATGCTAGTGAAACCAAGCTATAGTGATGAAATAATTTCACCACTATAGCTAACAAGAAGGGTTCTCTGTACCTGACTGACAAGTGTTATATTCTGAAATATGTAATAGCTTAAGAACTAGTATAAAAAGTGTAGATACCATACTGTTCAGATAGTATACTGGATATATATGAGGTATAGTGATGTTCATAAATAATAAGACAGATAATTAGAAAGTTTAAAATGAATAATCTTTTAGTAGATTATAAGTATGGCATTTAATATAAAACCTTAGGATAGACTACTTAAATAGGCAACTAAAAGTTGCATATGTGACTAGTTTTATTTTCTTCTCTGTAAAAAATAGTGTAAATTAATCTTAATAAAAATTAATAAAGTTTGCTATAAAGTATGATTTTTTTAAAAAAAAAAAAATTATAACTTCTTATAATTATCTAATAAATTATATTAATTATAAATTAATATTAATTTTATAAGATTATTATTTTAACTTTGATAAATTAGAGTATAATGACTTAATAAAATAGATAAGTTGTCAATCTTTCAAGTAGTAGGTTGTAAGTTCAAAACCTATTAATAATAAAAATTTGGATAATCACTTATATAATATTTATATTATAATAACTGTACCTAATAATTAAGTTAAGATATCTGTAATTATGTTTATATCAGTATGACTAGCAGATTATAGAGCATCTGTATAACTAATTATATAAAGAAATACAAACTGGCATTAGGTAGTGCAAACCTAAAATAAGTTCTTTTGATTATATAAATTTATAAAAATTAGAAAACTAAAAGTTCATTTGAGAAGACATAACTAAAAAAGTAATATGGATCTTTAATAATACTATTGTAAAGATTAGATCTAAAAACAGATACCAATATAGAGTATCTGAATAGACAAAAATCTCTGTGAGCAGAGTATCACTAACCAGGCTACTAAAATTCTAACTAAGAGAACTAATGAAAAAGGTTATCAGGTTGATCTAATATACTAATAAACTAGTTATAGTTTTATTAGACTATCTGAATTAGAAGTTCAAAGAAAAAACAAAGATCTAAATAAACTTTACAAAAGCAAACTTTGTTAATAGTTTATAAAATAAATAGATTAGCTAACAAAGAGGCTCTTTGAGCTTTATAATTAGGTAATATGTTTTAAAATTAAATAACAACTTGACAAATATACAGAAAGAAAGATATAATGTTGGATTAGATAACACTTAGATATACAGAAATCAAGATAGTGTTACAGGGTTGCAGCCTTCTTGGTACAATACAACCAAGTAACAAGGTCACTTGGTACAGTGATTGACTATTGCAA